AAGGTTTGTTCTCCGTTCAATTAAGAGAGCTGTTCAATTTGATTGCATACTTCAATAACTGATGCCTGGTTTTTCTCCAGTAATTGAATCAGAAGCTCGTTTAAACCTTTATTTAATTAAACTTTTTCTTTACAATATTTACCAATCCCTTTAAACCCATTTGGTACATTTCATTATTTTTCCAGACCGCAGATTACATAACATGTTTTCAATGGAATCTATTTCGTCAAGAAAACAATGTTTAATTCTTGTTGGACGTTTTAAGCTTTTTTGGTGTTTAATGTATAAACAAAACATGTATATACGATAGTGTTGTGCGTTTATGTAATTCAAAGTGAAAATGTATAATTAAAATCAACATATTGGTCATAAGTACCAGAATAACAGAGTTAGTTTTTCGTCATGAATAAACGTATGCATATGTTGTTAAACTTCCACTTAAGAATCGTAATATACTTTAAATAAATGTTACATTTTTTATAGTTAAACAGCATACACTAGTTACAATGCGAATGTCAATTTTAAGACCAATCTGTATTTCTCATATTTATAAAAAAATATGTTAATTATATGCAGTGTGAATGTATTTCCTAGACAAACAATATTCGTTTCATCTCAGGAAATTCTAAAGCGACAATATCTGGTCGAAAAATCTAAATAAATCTCATCTCAACTATTTACTAATGTACAGCTAATTTTGACCTAGCTACATTTCACATATACACTTTACATTTCACCCCCAAAGATCAATGCTAGGTCATCCGGCTGCACTCTATATTGATTTCTACTTACTACCATAAAGGAATGAGGAAGCCCTTGGGACAGGGGAGGTATCCTTTGTTACAGTTAGGACTGGACAAGCACCAGGCCTCTGGGGGTAATTTCCTCGGCTGGCGATAATATTGATAAAGATCTCCCGTGAATGCCCCTTGCCTGTTCCTTTACAACGTAGGTGTATCTTTTGTAAAAAAAAATGGGTTTGGAATAAACACGAGATTTTTTATTAGTCTCATGTATAGTTCACTACATAAATTATGTATTGATGGTGTACTTATTAACATTCAAGTGTTACTTATTTTTTTATAGTAAGTAGGTAAGAACATATTGCTTTTCGAGCAATAGAAATTGAAAGTTAATCTAATTGTTTTACCCACACAATATCTGTTTTAGAACATTTAGGAAACTGGTTTAATTTAGATGATTTTTATGCCTCCAGGTTCTAGCCCGGAATTGTTTTCCTTAATAATTAAGGTTTAGAGAGAGACTCGGAATTATAACATAAATTAAATATATTTGTGTTTGGCGGGATTTGAATACGTGACCTCGGGGACTGAAGTTCCGCACTCTACCAAAATACCAGCTTGATCTCTAAGTTAGGTGACCTTATTGTAAACATAAAACAACTATTAAATATGTGTTTTATAAGATAAAACATGTTTTTTCCCCAACTATTGACTCAATCTAGACAACTGAATTACTAATAAAAAATTTCATCTCAAATTTTTCAACAGTTTATTCATTTTACATTATATATCAATGGTAATTATCACATCTCTAATATTAAGAACTTGTTTACAATTATTAAATCTTACCGTCGAAAAGAATAAACTAATGTGGACAAAATAAAAACTCCTATCGCTAGACATCAGGTGAAGCTGACAATGAGGTATGCACTTGAAACATCTACCATTAGGACCTGTCAAACGTGTCCGGTATTGATTTACTAACTCGCCTACTAATCTACGATGTGAGGACTTCACTGTAATCAGTCTTTGGGCAATTTAAATCAATTAGTTCTCGACAGGGCAGTTAGACTAGGTAGCTTCGAGGCAGATACGTACCTCAGATTGGGCTCGATACTGACCCGATATAAAGGCGTTCTAACGTACAGTTCTCTCATGCCATTACACAATGATTATTCGTCTATTACGTATATTCTTAATCAATTGTTCCCCTGACTTTTTACTACCCTTTTACATAGTATAAGGTGAAAGTATTGTTTTACGTCAAAACCTTCGAGTTTAAGTTTTGATGTGTAATATCCGCTATGGGTGCCTCTCAACCCATAAGAGGTTTTCGAAGTGATGTCTGTGTGTGTATGTATGTGTGGATTTGTACAGAGCTACAGACTACACCTTTTGTCCGATTTTTATGACATTTGGTATGTAGGTAATCCATGGTATCTCCGGTATTTTTACAAATTTTAATATGTAATGGTTTTTCCCATAAAGCCACACGTAAAATAAATGAAAAATCTGAGTTTCTCAAAAACCGTTCTAACGAATAAAAAAATCTACATGTTACGATTATGTTAGTCAAAAATAGCGTAACTAGCAAAGCTGTAAATCTACGAATTAAATCAATAGGCCGTTATATAGGCTTTTTAATAAATTACCTTTGTGTTAAATCTTTGATTTGACATTTTACCCATCATAGCTAATGTGTTTAAACAATACTAAGACGAAATATTTATAACTATTATATATATAGATAAAATATTTCATTTCTAAACAAAATTTCTTACCCAAGTAAGCGCTTATTTATTCGTCTCAGTTTTTATCGTTGACGTTTAAATTGTTGAAATGCAATGAGTAATTGAAAAATATTTTAGCGACGAAAAGTTAATAGAATTGGCAAGGCAAATAGTATATAAGATTTACTTACTTGCAGATTTCTAGTACTCTTTACAGAAGTAGGTGAATCAAGATATATGGAGAGATCTAGCTGGCGACATGATTCATTTCTATTGGACATGTTGGTATTATTCCTTGCAATATATCTCTGGAGCTGACCCATACGGATCACGAGGATTGGCGATGGTCCAAAAACATTTAAGAGCACTTGGTGCATCCCATACTTACTGTCGAAATGTTACCGTTGTTACAAGCAATTTATTTAATTCGGTTGTTTCTCGTAACCTTGTCTTATTGGAGTTATTAATTTAAAAGTGTATTACATTTCATAATAGAAAAAAGGTAAAGAAGCTGTTAACTTGTATGGAATGTGTAGTTAGTTTTATTCTGTGGATTTCCTTATATGTAAATAAAATTACTTGTGAATTAAAAAACAATAATTACTGAAACGTTGTACCATAATTGTCTATTTCACATAAAATCACCACATTAACGTTCAAAAGTATAGTAAATTTAGTCTAAATGGCTAACGAACTCTTAGAAATAATTTCCAGTTAAAACACATCAGTTAGTTTACAACATCTATTACTGTTTAACATAGTTTAAAAACCTAAAATATTTTTTTATTTGTGATTAAGTTATGGATTCTTATTTTCTTACTATACCACTTATAAACACATGTTCCAATGCTATTCAAAGGTTTCTTAGTGTTCTCGTTTCAATCTCATATGCATTTTAATTTTCCCTCATTATTGAAAATGCAATATTTCACGATTAAAAGTATCGTAACGAAATAAAACAGAAAATGCCTTCTTTTGATCCATCTAAAGTTCAATAATGTTCAATGTCAGCTTGATTCGTTTATCACACAATTGTAAAAATTTAATGTTGTAATTGCCTACCAAACATGTGACAAGTGATGGCACTGGTTTTTCCCCTTAATTGTTACTAATGCATTTTTAACTGGCTGTTAGCCATGTGCCACACGTCGTTGCCGCTCTGACTAATTCAATAATAATTGTGTAATGAGGTTTTAATAGAAATATAAATTCTATAGCACCTTAAATTTGAAATACCCCTGCTGCAGCAAACCTACAATCTAAATGAATTTCTCATTAGATTTTCACTTAAATGTCCCCTTAAACATGTCAGATTTATTTCCTATTCAAATATCCATTGGTTGAACAAGTACAGGTTTGCTGCAACAGAAAAGGTTATCAAATTTTCTTTACTTAAATATCAATAGTTTAGGATAAAATAAAAAAAATCCAAGTTCGAACAAAATAGCCTACCTATAAACAAACAAACTACAAGAGTTGGCTTATTCTTCATAAAAATAAATGGGAATATTAAAGTTCCAGTAACAAAAATATGTTCCGCAATCATTAATCGTACAAAATACTTGAACATACTAAATGATATGTTTTTGAGTTTAATAAAATGGTTAAGAAAAAATAAGAAAATTCTTTTTTAGAGGGTCAAAAATAGAAAAAAAATCTAAAACTTTTTACTGTACACGGGTTTAATTATTAATCCTTCGATTTTTTTGGCTGTTCTTCGATTGTTTTTTGACTTTAATGATTTTATTGAAACTCATAAAGTACGAAATGACGAGGAAAAACGCCTAAACAGCTATCCAAACGACTACGTTGACATCAATCAATTGAGTCAAGCTGACATCACTGTTTTGAAGATTAAATCATAACAACTACCTGACTCGAACGAAGTAGTTTTGATAAATTTAATTGATTGAATTCTTTAGTAGTTTTGTTGAAAAGTAAAAAAATATGTCAAACAATACTGGAAACATATACTTATACTCATATTGTTTTAAAAAGACAGTAAATATAAGCAATATGAAAAGTGGTAGTGGTTATTGCTTTCGATTCGACACTCTAATCATCATCAGACCCAATTTTGTATGAATATTTTTATATTTATTTTTTCATATGAATTAATGAATACATTTGTCGCAGTCACCAAGAACCATTTAAACTATTACATCATCAACGATGATCAATGATGACACTATTTTGTGATTACGTCATAGCTGTCACTCGTGACCGTTATGGTTTTTAAATTTAAGTAGTTTTGTTCCTTCGGTCGACATGTTGTCGGATTTTTTGTATACTCACAGAACCTTTAACATCAATGACGTGGTTCAAATAGTATCCAAGAAGACCTACCGGTCCAGAATGGCGCCACTTTTTAAAGATGACGTCATTAAGTGGCGTATTTTTTGCCTCACTTTTTTTGTTTTAAGATAGTGTAGACTGTCCAAGAAGCCCTGCGGTCTGGAATGACTTCTTTGTTTTAAAATAACGTCATGAAGTGACGTAGGTTTGATCTCTTTGTTTTTTGTTTCAGGCTGTAGTGTAGACCGTTCACAAGCCTCATCACCAATGACGACGTCAACGTGACTGCCGAGCAGACATGCGGGCCAGGCTGACGTCACTCTGTTGAAGGTGACGTCACTGCTGTCACGTGACTGTGACGTCATGGCCAGGCTGCTGCTGTTGGCCATCATCCTGGTCAACTTTGTACACAGCTGCGTTGCTGCTTCCGGTAAATGTTACATTTTAAATGATAATTCAATCAAGTATAATTATCACGATAAACTATGTGTTGGTATTCATTGAAATGAATACATAATTAATCAGGGAGAAAATATATTTCACTCATTGTATTATATACAATAAGTAAATTTTCCTTCTTAATGAATCATTACATTAAAAAACATAAAACGTAATAGTTAATTAATTTTAAATAACATGTAGCTTAGTAAACTCCTTATGAGTCCATTTTACTATAAATATGTGTAAATATACGTGTAAAACATTATTTTATCGTTTCATCGTACATATAGGCACACTCTTACATTTAAGATTGTTTACTGAAAAACGTAAGTTTAAATATTAATAGAAACCCATTGAGGTTAAAATCTTTAATTTGTATACAAACCTCATATCAATTGTACGACACAAATCAAATGCAGAAGTAGGTTAAACAAGATGTATGAAGGGATTTACGTGACTACATGATTCATTTCTATTGGACATGTTGGTATTATTCCTTGCAATATATCGTCTAGAGCTGACCTCTCGAAGCAAAGTGAATTTGGTTATGGACCAAGACTTTTAAGAGATATTCCACTCCGTGCATTAAATAAGCGATTAGAGTCAAGATTGAACTATTATTAGAAACACAAATTAATCCAATTTCACACAAACACAAGTCGACAATAAACAAAGCTCTTGAAGGAAATATTAACATTACAACTTTATCATTACGTCGTTATGTAAAAATACATTAAACCATAGTAAAGGAAAGATAAAATAGTAGGCCTATTGCTAACTCAAACCCTTTTAGAGTGAGGACTTTGGTTATCTTAAGTTCATATCCCGTTAATTACCAATGATTGCATCTAATTGACCTCATTTAGACCTAGCCTAAAGTAATGAGGAAAACAAATTCCGGGATGGAACCTAGAGGAATAAAAACCAATAAAACTAAGATTCCTTAGGATTATTTATTTTTATAAAACATCCAACTGCCTAGAAACATCATTGCTTTTAAATATTTATGACTTAGATTATAATTACTTAAATATTACAAACTTATAATTTTTAGTTACGAAGTTGTCTATTTGTTAAACAATATCTATAAACATATCTACGAATAAGTCTCAATCGTGTGGAAATTAGTTGTATTAGTTGTATAATACTAAAAAATAACCTGTAATTTTGAAGAAAAAAATTTAAGGTAAAACTCTACTGGTATAACAAGTTAAGATATAGATTTTTAAATTAAACTGTATCAACAGAGGATTAATTGTGAGGTGTTACAACGTAGGCCTACCAAAAGCAAAAAGTTGATAAAACTTGTATCAAATCTAAAGAGAAGCTGATTGGTCGGATCAAGGATGATGAATCTTTTGTGGCTCCGAATGAATATTAGATCAGGCCTTGGGAAACCTTGCCAAAAGTTGAATGGAAGGCAAGTTAAACATTACCAAGCAAACTTGCTCAAAAGATACTTCACTATGTTAACCTCAATTTCGACATCACTTTCTTATGAGGGCTCTTTACAACTAATTTGATTAAAAAGTACTTTCGTTGAACCAAATGGTAGCTGAAGCGATGCTTTATAATAGGGGTAACAAATTACCATTCTTTATAAGTACGGGTTTTCTTTATAAGCTGTATCCTCTGTAAGTTTGCATCTTGTAGTTATTTACGTTAAGAATCGTTGTTCTAAAATGTGGCATATTAAACTACTTAACAATTAAAAGTACAAATTAATCTTATAAACCAAAAAACTTTTGCAAAACTTATGACGGCTGACCATACTACTGGACCAAATTACACGCTGTTGGTACCAAATGAAAGATATTTTCCTGTAGATGTGCAGAATCCCTTTATACATTAAAATACAGTAAGCTAAAAAATAAGTACAAAATATGAATTTAAATTCAAAACAATTTACATGGGCCTAATTGGTTGTCATGTTGGCAAAGAAATAACAACAAAATATAAACACAAAGTTAAAAATAATTAAAGAAATTTCAATTACATTTATTTGAATTATGGGTTGAAAATAGAGAAGTTGCACAATACAAACTTTTGGTAGAGTTTTCGACCACGGGGTGAGCCCTCGTAATATCTGCTTGATATTTTTATTTTTATTTTATATAACTATCATTTCTCTAAACCACTTACATTTTGATACAAAAGTAATGTTCCGTATGTCAAAAACTACAATAGATACAACTGAGGGAAAGGGTCACACAAATAAATCAATCTTTTGGTAGACATGGCCGTTTAGTTTTAGTGCAATAGCTTCTTTCTTAAGAACCCCACTTTTGAAACTTCTAGCTATGCAAAATATCAGAATGTCTGGTTATAGTTTTGTAAGTAAAATAGACTACGTATACGTTTTAGCATAGGTAGGACACAACATCTTTCTCTGATTGTTAATACAAAACACCCTTCTGTGCAGGTAGTGTTTTATATTTTTATAATTACATATACATTTTTGCCTTCCTCTCTATATTCATTTTTACTTATCTGTCTGTGTGTGTGCGTGTTTATGTTTTGTTTTATTATGAGACTAACAATTGATTAATGTTGTTATGGCAGGAGAGTGCCAGGCACCTTTAGGGATGGAGGAAGGCAGAATCCCAGACAACGCCATCTCTGCGTCCTCCTCTTATGAAGTGAAATCCGTTGGGCCTCAGAATGCAAGGTATGTTACATTGCTTTATCACACAATATACTGGCACTAAATGCTACTTTGGCATTGGCAACTGTTATGCAATATTTCCTAGTAGAACTTTTGAGAAAAGGTTTATACCCATCACTTGTAGCCCCTGAGCTGCAATTACGAAAAATCAGATTACCTACGTCATTAGTTTGTGAATAGAATTTTTGACAACATCCCTCGGAAAATTGAGAGCTTTTTTGCACTTTTCGATGTCTCGATGTCAATATTAGTTGTAAATGTTTCGATGTCAAGATTCATCAGAAGTTTTGTAAACTTCTTGAGTCGGTAGCGTCGTTAAATAGTCCAAATAAAATATATGTGGTACATTTACGGATGACAGAATTCACATATATAACTATACCAGCCCTTACGAAACATAATGATCACATTAAGACTCATTCAAGAAGTGTTTCACAAGTACGTACTGCAGAGTGCTGAATGTGTGTTTAAACTGAATCATGTTTGAGTTTTATTGGCATTGAGTTGTAATGGATATTTAAGCTAGTACAGTACTCTAGCCTAAGGAAATAATTCTTCCTCTCAAACCCAACATAATTTATTTTCACATTGATTTCCAAAAGATGTTATACATACAAGCAAGGTAGTAGTGGCGAACTACCGGTTTAAAGTCACTTGGGGCACGTTTTCCCATAAGAAATAACATGGGATCATTTTTTGGCCACTAAAACCAAAAATCCTGATCTTTACCTAAATATCCCAATATAATTGTCAAACCTTATTTCTTACTTATTCCCCATAAATATATTCGATATTAAGCTAAAAAAGCTATTTTTTACATTTATTGACCCTTACAAGTGTAAATGTAGAGTAGAGGCAATATGATGGTTTAACGCCACTTTAGGCACGTTTTCCCCATAAGAATAACATGGTGAGCTTTTTTTGACCACTTTTTAAAAAATCCAGCTCTCGGCCTATACAAGCCTATATAAATGTTCAATACCATTGTATAACACTATTACAATTTCAAATCCATATCTATTCACATGTATATTCTCAAAATCACCAACTTGATAGTGCGAGGTTTGTACGCGAACTCGGGCGCGCTCCCGGCTCATGGCGCGCTCCCGACTTATGGTCAGGCTTCTCGCTCCCGACTCATGGTCGGTTTTCTCGTCTCTAGTGGTAGCTCTTGATTAAGCCTTGGGTGGGTGACCTCCCGTTGAAATAATTTCTAGTTAAATTGTTTAAAAGTTTTTTAATTTCTAGCTAAAAATTTTGAAAATTTCACAATTTCTGGTTAAAAATTTTTGAAATTTTCGAAAAGTCTATAAATAGAAGTGACATTCGGGTGATATTTCATTCTGGACCATGAGGCCCACCTGTCAACACTGCTCCGTGTCGCTCTCCACCAAAAGTAACCTGATTCGCCACTACAAGGTAATTCATCAAATGAAGGTGAAACTGTGCAAGGTTTGCAATTTAATCTGTGATAATAATGTGGCTCTAAAGTCGCATATATTACAAAGACACAAGAGTTGTAATTTTTGTAAAAGAAATGTTGTTGGACATTTTAAAAGACATGCCAATTCTTGCATGAAATGTCCATACACAATGATAAAATTTGTTGGTGAATCGATTAGAGCTGACCTTGAAAGTACTCTGAAGTCTTGTCCTCTGCCAATAAAATGGACTTTAGTTAGGAGAATCAAATTTATAAAATATTCAATGGATCAAAATGGAAAATTAGTTAATGAAAAAGAATGTATTGCAGATTTTAGAAGCCTTACTACCTTAACTATTGAGAAGAGAGATTTAAAGTCTCAAATTGAAAATGCACTTTTAAAGATTGATGCTTCTATACACAAATACCAAGCCCAAGGTAGTGGATGGATATATGACTATACAAAGTATTGGCAGTTGCACGTTTACAAGTATAAGCCCTTAACTCCAAAGTCATATATTCCCACACCAAAAACTATTCAATCGAAACATGCAGTTTTAAATATAAAAAATGCTGATAATAAATGCTTCCTTTGGTCAATTTTAGCAGCTTTACATCCAAGGAATTGTATCAATGAAAATGCTGAAAGGGTCTCTCATTATCTACCCCATGAAAGTCAGTTAAATATGACAAACATAAAGTATCCCGTAAAAATATCTGATATAGATCAATTTGAAAGACAAAATAATATAAGTGTTAATGTATTTGGGGTTGAAGACCAGAAATTCATATATCCATTAAGAACAACCAAACCAAATAGTGATACTCATGTAGATCTATTGTTATTACAAGATGGTCGTAAATCACATTACTGTTTAATTCGTGATTTTGATAAGTTAATGTTCCACTCTACAAAAGATGACCATAAGAAGCATTTTTGTAAGTTGTGTTTACAACATTTTTACACTAATGATATATTAGAACGTCACATAACATATTGTAAAAATTTTGATGCTCAACGAGTGGAAATGTCTAAACAAGATACATTACAATTTAAAAATTATAAATATCAACTTAAAGCTCCATTTGTGATTTATGCAGATTTTGAATGCTTTATAAACTCTAACAATCATACTCCATCTGGATTTGCATTTGTCTTAGTGAGAGATTCTAAGATTATTTCTGAAGAGTTATATAGTGGTGCAAATGTTATGGATGTGTTTTTCAAAAGGTTATTTGAGACTTATGACTTCATTAAACGTCAAATGGCGATATATATTCCCCTAGTAATGACTCCTGAGCAAGAGGTATCTTTCCAAAACTCAACGCATTGTCACATTTGTGAAAAGCCCCTATATCTTGATAGGGTGCGAGATCATTGTCATTCATCTGGTCAATACCGTGGAGCTGCCCACAATGATTGTAATTTAAACTATAAAGTAACAAAGAAAATCCCAATATTCTTCCATAACTTGAAAAATTACGATGGACATTTAATAATGCAACACTTGGGAAAATATAATCGTAAATTAAATTGTATAGCTAAAGATATGGAAAAATATATATCATTCTCTGTAGACGATTTAGTATTTTTAGATTCATACAACTTTCTGTCCCTTCCATTGTATAAATTGGCTTCCAATTTAAATAAATTTAGATTCATACAAAATCCACTACTACAACGTAAAGGTGTATATCCCTATGAATATATGACGGGACCAGATAAGTTTGCAGAGTCTCTACCCCCAATTGAAGCATTTTACAGTACTCTAACTAAAGAACATATCTCTCCCATTGAATATGAACATGCTAAAAATGTCTGGACCCATTTTAATATAAATAATTTACAAGAATATCATGATTTATATCTTAAAACAGATGTATTGCTACTGGCTGATGTCTTTGAGACTTTTAGAGACCTGTGTTTAAAGGATTATAAACTTGACCCCGTACATATGTATTCACTTCCTGGATTAACATGGGAGGCCTGTCTTAGAATGACTGGTATAAAATTACAATTATTTCAAGATATTGACATGCATTTGTTCATAGAAAGTGCAATCAGAGGAGGAGTCAGTATGATTTCCACACGTTATGCTAAAGCCAATAATAGATATATGGGTGAACACTATGATCCCAATCAAGAGAGTGTGTATTTAATATATTTAGATTGTAACTCGCTATACTCCACAGCAATGTGCGAGCCACTGCCTGTGGATGAATTCCGTTGGACTAATGAGATAGACTACAAATACAATCAAAATTATGAGTTTGGTTACATTTTAGAAGTTGATTTAAAATATGATAAAAGCTTACATGATTTACATAATGACTATCCATTGGCACCAGAGAAAATGAATGGGAAATTAATACCAAATTTAAATGACAAAACTAAATATATTTTACATTATAAAGCATTACAAAAATATGAGGAATTGGGGTTGGTTGTTACAAAATACCATAGAATTTTAAAATTTAGACAATCAAAATGGCTTGCACCCTATATTAATTTTAATATTGAAAAACGAAAAAGTGCTAATAATGATTTCGAAAAAGACTTTTACAAATTGTTAAATAATAGTCTCTTTGGTCGAACAATTATGAATCAACGAAAGTTCCGTGACATATATCTCAAGGATGAGTCACTATTAACAAAATATGTCACTAATCCAAGGTTTGACTGTAGCAAAAAGTTCGATAACAATTTACATGCTATACATTTAAATAAATTAGTTGTAAAGTTTAATAAACCAATATATTTAGGAATGACAATTTTGGATATTAGTAAAGTAATAATGTATGATTTCCACTATAATTATATGTCAAAATTTAAGAATAAAACATTTCTAATGACATATACAGATTCATTAATGTATGCTATAGTTACAGAGGACTTTTACAAGGAAATAGAATGTGACTTGCACTATTTTGATACCTCTGGATATAGTAAAGACCATTTCTTATACTCTGATAAAAATAAAAAAGTCACTGGAAAGTTTAAAGATGAATTAGGTGGTCATATTATGTATGAATATTGTGGTTTAAGACCAAAGTTATACTCTTACATTCCTCTAAAATGGTTATATGAAGAAGACAAGCAAGCTTTAGAGGTGAAGAAAGCTAAAGGAGCTGATGGTGCCACTGTTAAACATCTCCTCAGACATCAACATTATTTGAACTGCCTTGCAACTGGGCAAGATTACTATGAGAATGTGACAAGAATTAAATCTACAAATCATCATCTTCAAACCTTGACCATGAATAAGAAAGTACTATCCTTTGACGATGACAAGAGGTTTATTCTGGAAGATGGTATCAATACTCTTGCGCTTGGTCATTATAAAATTGATCAAACATAGTTATGTTCAAATGTATGTAGATATATTTAATGTTGCAAAATAAATACAAATGTTAAAAAACTCCAGTCTTTTATTTATTTACCCTTACCATCCTCTTGATAGAATTGGTCAAACATAAATCTATATTTGCCATTATTCTTTGACCTTTCTTTGTCTATTACGAAAAAGCCATATTTAGTTTTATCCCAACATTGATGACAGAGATTTTTAAATTGGTCAAA